ATAAAGGTCAGCTGTCAGTGTTTTAGATTTAAAGCATTCAACAAGTTTTAAATGCCAGAAGCTGATCATGAAAATTCATTTTTCTATATAGCATAACAGCTGAACTTCCAGCCATCACCTCTCTATTATGGTCACTTTACTTGACACCAGATTGACCAAAAGTGAAAATCAATTAACAGCTCTGCAGTTAAAGAATCAGGTTATTTCAAGTCAGTGCAAAACCTTTTGCTAAGTGCAACTGAATATATAAAAGATCATATATTTGAACTGCAGAGAAAGATATGATGACATGATTGATCATCGCAGTTATACGTAAATTAAGCAGCTGTAAAATTAAAGCCTAAAAAAAATAAGGGCTAAATGGGACTCAGACCCATGACCGCTCAGGCCTGAATTTTTTCCAGGCTTTAATTTCACAACTGCGTAAGTTTTGTATAACTGCGATGATCAATCATGTCTTCACATTTTGCTTCGAGAACGAGTTACAGCTGTAATCATTTTGTTTTAGTGGCTAGTAATTTTTTTTTTAACTTGTGAATTTCATTTGTTAACAGGTAAAGAGATTAATGCGCTGCTCTCACTCCCCAAGCTATTTCCTGGTTTAAGAAAACTGAAGAATACAGGATCTGATTTTGTGGTTAATGTTGCAGAGGTGAGCCATTACACAGCCTTTATGCATGTCAGTACTTTTATGTTATCAGTGAAAAGATCACAGTTATGTTATAGCTGTTCAAATTTCTATTGAGGTCCCAGGGAGACATAGTACATCCAGAAGTAAATTAATACTACTGACAGCTCAAGTCCCAAGAGTGATCTACATTTGTTTTTTCCTTTATATACAAATAGGATATCAAGCGTACAAGTTACAAGAAAGAATGATCATAAGCCAGGAGAAATTTGCTTTATTTAACATTAAATTTTCAGATCTAGAACTTTAAACACTCTGAAAATGAAGTGGCAGTCAGTAAGGATAATTTTTGTATTTATATTGGGGCTTGGAGGGTAAAGTATAAAAATGTACAAATCATTCAGTTCACTGACATAAAAAATAGCTCTTGTTTTTGCTAGTCAGTGTTCTTTCATATGTACACATAAACAACAGTAGAAATTGTCTGCTTTATGCAAATGTGTACTAAAAGTTTGGGACAATGAGAATGTTATGTTAACACAAATTTATTATTGACATTTGGCCCTTTCTTTTAAATTTCAGAATGGCAAGTCTGTCACAGAGTTTCTCAAGAAACCCCCATCAACATCACCTTACATCATAATCAGTAAAAGAGGAAATGGCTGGCAAACATTCCTTGCTTGTGGTGGAAACTCAATACTGGAGACAACTACCATCAGCACTGGAGTTGCAGCTCTAATAGGATCATACTTTCTATTCAATTTTGAATATCCGCCTGAAACCAAAGGTGCATTTTTATTTTTACAAGAGTACCTGCTGAATGATTTCGTCAATCAGAGGCACTCAAAGTATGCAGCTGCCCTGGTTCGGTACCAGACTGCAGCCATGAAAAACTCTAGTTCACCAATGGCCAGTAAGTCTGCAGAGAATGACAGTGCCTAGATGGACATGTGATCATGCTAAGAACATGAGACTTTGATGTTGTTGTTTACCGGTAACTACTTTCACCGAGTGTGAGGCCTTTTATGGTTGAGACTATCAAGTTACTATGAAGTGAAAAAAATGTATGTGCACAGCAAATGTACTATTCATGCATATGAGGATTAAAAAGAGAGCCAGTGCTTGATATTGATCTTGAGTTATAGCCGTCCTCTCTACCTAATAAATGTTTAACTACATGTTGGCAGAAGTATTAGTCTTGCCTGAAATGAGGAACCACAAGGCCAAGTTGCTACAGAGTAACTTGAAACCTTACTAGAAGCACATAAATTAAGAAAATCCCTTGATTTCAGCTCAATGTACCCTTAAAGTGATAACCTTCATTGCACCTACAGTTAGTTCTGTGTTACTTAATGTGATGACTGTGTGCCTCGGAACAAGAAATAATTTACACTACAAACTCTTGATTTGAGGCCAATATACATTTTGTACCCTTGCAATAAGAAAGTTGATTGCACCAATATCAGAGGAATATTCCCTTACTTTGATGCTTATACCCCCTTGTAACAAGGAATGTATAAGACTTAACATGAGATGTAAAAACTCTTGATTTGAGACCAATATACCCTTGCAGTAAGAAACTTAATTGCACTAATATCAGGGGAACATTCTCTTGCTTTGATGCTTATACCCCTTCTAATGAGAAATATATAGGGCTTAGTATGAGATTTTAAAACTCTCGATTTAAAAGCACTATGCCCTTAAACTGAACATATATGTTTTTAAAACAAGTAGTACAATGCTATTAATATAAGTTTGAATTGCCTTCTTTAAAGAATTACAATCCCTTAAATCAAGGCTTCCATTAACCTTGTACTAAGTTTGTTGTGCATCTCATTTTGAGTGTACAAAACCCAGATAAGGCCCTTGGTTTAAGAAAGAAGCTCCCTCACTTGAGGGAGCTAACTATGAGGTGCCATTGCTCTTAATGCGAGTTAATTTTTTCACTTAAAGTAAAAACTTAGTTTTTGCAGTGATCACATTAGGAAGTATAAGAGATACCAAGACGATCCCAGTGCACCAGTAACCAAATCAACAAGGCTTGACTGTAACAAGTGTTCAGCAACACTTCCAACACAGCTAGCCATCTTGATTCCTCAGTCAGTCTTTCCACTGAACTAGCAGTGGTGCCAACAGAGTCAAGTGCATCTCATAATGGAGAAACATTTGCACGAGGGACAGAAGCAACCAAATGCGATTACAAAGGTGCATTGGAGTTCTCGTCTGCAAATGGTTATTCACAGTCCAAAGCCTTCCCGAGCTTGGAAAGGGGTGGGGTAAAATTTTATACCAGACCTACAAGGTATAGAACAATTTTGTTCATTGCTGACTCAGAGAAGGACAACAAGTAAACTTTAGAGCTGTTATTATTGAACTGTGACTTACACTTTTCATTTGTATGTAAAGAAGGATTTGTATTTTGCACCAAAAATATAAAGTAATATTTTTTAGGAGGTCCAGTGATTGGGACATTTAAAAAATTAAGTTATGAAAAGAAACTCGGTTTGTACTTCTCACTACTAACAAGTCTTGTTTTAAAAATATTTTCAGATCAGAGTTTCAAATAAAGCAAATTGAAGAAGTCATTTAAATGGTGTATTTTCTTGAAGGGAACAGTGACCACCTCTGTCTTGTCCGCATGCCAAATATTTGCAGAGTGTGTGGATGATCCATAAGTATTGGAACTCTCACAAAAATGTTTTGTAAGAATAAAAACAGCAAAACAATATTTTCGTAGGTGGGATATGTAAGTCCCCACTAGGATCCTGGGTAGAATGCATAAGTCCCGCCTAAACTCCCAGGTGGGATGCAGAAATCCCATCAAAGATCCTGGCTCGGATGCAGGAATGTTCCAGGACCATCACTCAAAATCATCGAAGCACAATATGCACTACGTGTAAATCAAGGTTTCACATCAAATGTGGTGGTCTGTCTCTCACAGTGGCCTGTCTGCAGTGGCCTGTCTGTCACGAATTATAAACAAATTCAGGACTGGAACTGCTTAAATTGTAACAAGTCAATCTAAGAAGTTTTTAATTTCTCTGACTCTTTCTTTGAAGAGAAAAACGAAAGTCAAGTTGAAAATGAAACTGAGAAAGATGAGTCAACAAGCATGGAAAATTATGCAAACCTGTATTGTTCTGATCCTGATTTGCTTGCTCAGAAAAAACCAGACTCCAGAAATATGTTCATAGCACACTTAAACATCAATAGCGTCCAAAACAAAGTGGAAGAGCTTAGAGACTTACCCCTTTAAAATTATCTCACGTAGAAATTATGCAAAACTGGATGAAGAAGACTTTAGGAAAGACTTGTTAACTACACCATTGCATGTTATGGACATATTTGAATTTCTTTAATAAAAGTGTGATTATTGACATGGTCTCATAACTTTGTTATTGATGAACACATCCCAGTAGAGAAAAAGAGTGTGCAATCTAAAGATGTCCCTTTCATGACCAAAAAGTGGAAGAAAGAAACCAGGGACAAGTGAAAGGCAGCCACTTTTTCTAATAAGTACTCTGATTGATTTAACTTGATTTCTCTGGGATTGTTCAATTTGTCAACCTGTGTTCAAGTGTTCAAGCTCCTGGGGTCATTCTTCCAACACAGTCTACATGCAGCTTTGTCCCAGAAAGTCACAGCCAACCATACCTGGTGATAGGGATCTAGCTGTGTCTAATATCAAGAGTTGTGTGAATCAAGTGAATCACTGGATGCTGGTTAGCCACCATAAATTAAATAAAGACAGGACTGAACTATTGGCATTCTCTGTTAAATATTTTCCAAGACCACTTCTTCAAGATATCTCAGTTGCTGATGAAACCATTCACTTCTTGCAGTATCGCTGCAATATTTCAAAGTCATTTTTGATTAATAAACGAGTTGCCATTATACGTATTTGCAAATCATTGTTCTTATCATCTCCAAAACATCAATATCATTGCGAGGTACTTAACATGGACCACCAAAGTTGGATCACTGCAATGCTGCTTTATAAAAAGGTTACAGCACACCTGGAATGCCACTGCTTGTCTCATCACACTTACCAGAAAGCATGGTCATATTACCCATTCTTTTAAAACTTCATGTGCTTCCAGAAACTCATTGCTTAATATTTACAATTTTTCTTGATGTGGTCGTACGTGCACAATTTGCTCACACCCTACACTCCTACAAATTAATCACATTTATCATCCAGTCATCTTCTGTATGTTACATGTAAATATAACATGTAACACATGTCACAATTTGGTGCTAGAGCTTGCAAAAACTCACATGGTATTTTATTGCTGTTTATGTAACAGGAATCTTTCATTCCTTGCAGGGAATTGTTAGAACTGTGGAATAGTAGGCCACATCAGGGCATAGCACCGTCGGCCAAGACCTCATTTACACAAACCAAACAGAAGACACAACGTCCTAGGAAAAAGTGGAGTACACTACCACTTCCATAGCACTGTCACAAACATTAACATTTCAAAGTGAAGAGTGGCAAAATTCTAAATCTCTAATAATGTGCTCTGTCCCAATTCACTCGAGAAGAGAATATGTGGGTAATGACTGGTCTTAACATAGTAATCTGAAGCAATTGGCCATCACACTTTAAAAGTGATCAGTATGAGTAGTTTAAGGGTTTTACAAGAAAAATCATAAATACTGTCACTGAACAGTGCCCAACCCTATTCAGTTCAATTCAAAACTATAACAACGAGTCCCATGCCAAATAGCACTTTTTCACTTCAAAATTCAATCTCTCAGTGTGGCAATTGGTACATGAAGATCACACAGGAGTCTGGGGCAACTATCATTGCTGTGGTAATGTGCACACACACAGTTTGGAGGTTCCCATTTCTTGCTCATTTTACTTGGCCTAGTTTGAACTACTGGTTCTTTAGGTGAGACAGAAGGAGAGAATTCTTTTTCAAAGTTCTTCATTCCTGATGACTGACTGCAAAATTAGGACAAAGTTCACAAAGGAATATCATCTAGGTGACTGTCATTCACACTTAGAACATCAATGGCTATGTGCCCAATCCATCAAGGAATACTGCTTGATTGCAAGATTTGTAAAATAAAACTTTCAAAGAGGATTCTTAGCGATTAAGGTGTTTGTTAGATTTTGATATGATGAGCATTCCCATTTTCATTAGTAAAGTACACATCTTTTGTTTTTCTTTTTTAATGTATTATTTCCCATACAGACATGATATTCTGATGAATTCTTTTATTTAGTTGTGTACATATTTTCAATATATATTTTATAATTACAGTGCTGATAACAAGTTTATACCAACCAATCATCAGTTTTTCTCTCGTGTGTGTTGACTTGCACTTTATTTTTTTTGTGGCCCAAGCTTTTATGTGGAAGACAAAAATAATCAGTAACTCCAAAAGTGATATTCCATTGCTAGACATCAAAAATCAGAACCTACCTAGGATTGGTTTTTATTAAGCAAAGAAGCCAATAAGGCAGGGCATCTAGTCCCGAAAGTGTTGAATCTGCAACTGCAACTCCTAGTCCTAGTCCTATCTGCCAGCAAGTTGACCTCAACTTGGACCTTATTAACTGTCTTTTCCAGGGAAGAAAATCAACCCAAATGCCCTCCAATGGTCTAAACAAAAAAGTTTTGGATTTAAAAATGAAATAAACTTTGCATATTTAGCATTGAAGGAATTAGAATAAAATGAAAAGGCTAGCAGACTTCTTTAAAAACACTAAGAAGCACAAGTTCATCTTCCAAATGTTACATACCTATGTGGAAATAAGAGAGTGAAGAAAGAAGCAATGGCCTAAGTTAAGGGCAAGAGAGGGAGAGAAGATTGTTTCCTATTAGTAAGCCTAGACCAGACAAGTTATGCAGTTTGTACTGCCTTTTTGCAGTATCTAAAGAAAAACACCACAACCAAAGGTGCAGTATGGTATGAAGCTCGACTGCTTAGAATACACAGCCTACATGTGGGTTAACCAAAAAGCTACCTCAGCTTAGGGAGAAAGCCAACAAAGATTGTTACAGATTTAGCTCTAAGCTTACTGATGGGCTGAATGAAGGAAAATATTTGTGCTTGGCTCATAACTTGGACACACTCAAAGAATTGCTTGAGAAAGGAGATAACTTATCTACTGCTTTTGATACTGTTTATTATCACATTCTGACATTCTGCGAAGAAGAACAACCCTATCTAGCAAATGACTCTTTAGCATTGCCTTGGTCCCACAGTTCAAAGAATTTTTAAGATTCTGCCAAGCGGTCCTAGATGAAACCAAGGAAGCATTGGAAAACGTCTTCTCCCCAAAAAGAAAGATGGTTTCTCAAAGATACAAGTTCCAATTCAGAGGACAAAGGGCACATGAAACGATTGATACCAATCACACTGCCCTTAGAGAACTAACAAAGACACGTGATTTTGGCACATTAGAGGAAATGATCCAAGATCAGATCTGGGAGAAATGTGCATCAAAGAGCCTTTCATAAAAACTTCTACAGCAAGACGATCTGGACTTCAGGAAGACCTTCAAACTAGCGAGAAGCAACCAAACCTCAAAACAGGATGCCACCTTGATTAAGAAAGGAACCAAAGAAAACCCGATACAAGTGGATCAAATGCACACCGAAGAACTAGATAGAACCAGACACAGCAAGAACTTCACGTGTTACCAATGTCGAAGAATGGAAAGACACGGTCTTGATGAATGTGGTGAGATAAACTTGAGATGCAATGCCTACAAAAAAATGGGTCATCCTGCCAGGGTGTGTAAATCAACTAAGAAACCCCACCGCTGTTCAAACTAAAACAGTAACTGGAAGTCAAGCAAGAATCCAAAGAGATCTGACAAGAAAGCACACAACCTGAGAGCAGGATGGATTAATGAAGAAACGAGCTCTGATGATGAGAAGGAACCTGTGTATTCAAGAAACAAACAAGATAGTTCAGTCCTAGTGAACTTAAACGGATGGAAGAAAAAAATGATAATGGATACTGCATGTAAGTACAACATCATTTTCTCTGAATTGTACAAATCTCAATTCAAACATTATGAATTGAAAAAAACCAAAAAGCGATTTGTTGCTTATGGACAAAAGGATGCATTAAATTGAAAGGGTTATTTTGTTGCTACTCTTAAAGTAGGTGAGAACATGATAACAGCCAAGGTGTATATATGTTGTAGAGGGTCATTCAGAGTCCCCCCTACGTAGAAAACTCAAGTTTGGATTTGGAGATAATCAAACAAGTGAATGTTATTGGAGACAAACCATGCCCCCCTAAAGCCAGTAGAAATAGTGAATTAGATTCTTTGCTTCACAAGTTTGATGAAATTTTTCATGGAATAGGGAAAATACCCAACTTTAAACATAAAATTGCCATTGATGTCAGTGCTAAACCAGTTAGTCAGCATCTAAGACAAATACCCTTTAGCCAAATTGAAGCAGTTAACAACGAGCTTGACAGAATGCTTAAAGATGATGTTATTGAGGTCAAAGAAGCTAGTCCGTGGGTGCCAAACGTTGTGATAGTTTCCAAGAAATCTGGTGAACTAGAGTATGTTGTGACCTCAAGTTATTAGGGAATGTTAAATACTCCTTAAAGTAGATGATATTTTGCAAGCAATGCATGGTTTAAAGTATTTTGCAAAACCGATGCTTCAAGTGGTTTCTTTCAGCTTCCACTAGCTGAAGAATCTAGGTACATTACATTCATAACGCCTAGAGGTTGCCATAGATTTAAGTGCACTCTCTTCAATCTTTGTGATGTAAGTGAAGCTTTCCAAAAGATGATGGAACAAATTTTGTTCAGAGTAGATGGAATACAAATATCAATTGACAATGTTATTATACATGCCACCATGATGGCAGAGCTTATCAACTGACTCCATAGTTTTCAAATGATGCCGTGCAAAAAACCTTACAACCAAAGCAAATGAGAATTTGGCATAACCAAGAACTCAGTTTTAGGTCATGTAGTATCTGCCAACAGTATCAAGCCCAATCCAAAAAAGTGTGAAGCAATTAAGATACACCACCGCCTGAGAATGTATCTGATCTCCCGTCACTTCTCAGAATGTATGGATATATTGCAAAATTCATACAACGTATGCCAACATTGTGGAACCTTGAAGAAAGCTCACCCGAAGAGAAGAGAAATGGTCATGGGAAAAAGGAGCAAAGAGAGGCATTCAAAGCTTTAAGGGAAGCATTGTCTTGTGAGTCTGTTCTCGCATGTTTCCGTCTACATATAGGTAATCTTGGATGCTAGTCCAGTAGGCTTAGGAGCTATCCTACTTAAAGTTCAAAATGGAGGTGAACGAAAATCAATCACATACTCAGGTTGATCATTAACACTGTAATGTCGTACGTCAATCATGTTGGATCACGTGACTAGAGAGAGAGATTATTATTATTAAAAAAAAGCAAGGTTTTTACTACAAGCAGGGCGTTGTGGTTCATTTTACTTTAGCTCTATTCGAGACTGATACTCTCGATACCACATCTGGCGACGAGGATTCTAAAATTCATGAATCCCACAGTCAATATTCACATCAACACCGGTTTTCATTGAGGAGTTCGCTGTGTAAATTTTTCTTGAAAGCACGTGCTGTTTGCGACGCGCTCAACTCTGTGAGACCTCATGGCGGTTTCGCTACCAAGTTTTCCACCGTTCGACGTCCATGCCGATGGCAGTGCAGGTCCACGATGGAAAAGATGGCTAGGACGCTTAGAACGAATGCTTATCGGAATGAACATCACAGCTGCGAAAAAGAAACGGGCTTTGTTGCTGCATTATGCCGGCACCGACGTAGACGAAATATTCGACACCTTACCAAACACTGGCGAAGACGGCGACTATGACACGGCGGTCGCGAAACTTAACGAGTATTTCTCCCCACAAGTCAACACCACATATGAAGTATATCATTTTCGCCAGACGAAGCAGAAAGAGGGTGAGTCGCTTGATAGTTTTCACACCAGGCTTCGCCAACTCGCGAAAACCTGAGAATTCAGCGATGTTGACAAAGAAATTAAAGAACATATTATTCTGACGTGCAGTTCCAGCTCGCTTAGACGCCGAGCGCTACGTGAAAACCCAACGTTAGAAGGTTTATTGAATCTAGGAAGAGCATTAGAACTCAGTGACAAACAAGCGAAAGACGTAGAAGATACCGGAGGCGAATTCCAAGCCATCAACAAAATCAAACGAAAAGAAGAGAATCGGCAAAGCCGCCCACGATACCGGCGTGACACACAATCACGCAATCGTCGTTTTGGAAACAAGCAAGGCAATTCTCCCAGAAAATGTGGCAAATGTGGGTGGTACGCACCTCACAAAAATCCATGTCCTGCGCAAGGAAAAGTCTGTAAAGCCTGCGGGAAAATTGGCCATTTTGCTCATGTTTGTCGTTCAAAACCTCGTACCGTGGCCTCCGTGGAAACTGGTCAAACCTCTGATGAAGAATATGAGTACGTTTACACTGTCGACCATCAAGAAAACAAGAAGCCACCCATATGTCAGCTACAAATCAATGGAAGAAACGTGAACATGATGATCGACTCGGGTGCATCTGTTAATCTTCTTGATGAAATAACCTTTCAAAGAATTAACAGTCACGGCAGTGAAAGCCTGCAGCCTGTTCACACCAAGATTTACTCATATGGATCTAAAGTCCCTCTTCCTACCCTGGGAATCCTCACTGCAACCGTGAAATCCAGTAACGCGAGCACCTCCGCTCAGCTGACTGTTGTTAAAGGAGAAAATGGAAATCTTCTCAGCTATCACACTGCAAAGAAACTAGGTCTGATTGCGGTTTCTATTAATACTGCCACCGTCACTGAAAGAAACAAAGACGACCCGGAGTCTCTAAAAGAAGAGTTCAAATCACTGTTTGGAGGCATAGGGAAAGTACCAAACAAACAAGTGAAGTTACACATTGACCGCGATGTTACACCCCGACAGCAACCCCACAGACGAATTCCATTTCATGTTAGAGACGATGTCGAGAAAGAGCTTGAGAGACTTGAGAAACTCGACATCATCGAGAAAGTTGAAGGGCCCACACCCTGGATCAGTCCAATTGTTGTCATCCCCAAGAAATCCGGAGAAGTTCGAATCTGTGTTGATATGCGTGAGGCAAACCAAGCAATTAAGCGGGAAAAGCATCTCATGCCAACCATTGATGACCTTGTTGCTGATTTGAATGGTGCAACGCTTTTCAGTACATTAGATCTGTCCTCAGGATACCACCAGCTTGAGTTATCACCTGAAAGTCGTTATGTCACAACCTTCAGTATACATGCTGGCCTAAGAAGATACAAACGTTTGCCTTTTGGAATTAATGCAGCGTCCGAAATTTTCCAGGAAAAGATCAGGGAACTCCTTTCTGGCCCCCCAGGATGTAAAAACATCTCAGATGACATCATAGTATTTGGAAAAGACCAGGAAGAACACAACAAGAATCTCCGTGGTGTTCTCCAGAGGCTTAAAGAAAATAACCTCCGTCTCAACAAAGACAAGTGTGCGTTTTCCAAAACTGAAATCAAGTTCTATGGTCACATTTTCAGCTCTGTCGGTGTTAGACCTGATCCAAAGAAAGTTAAAGCAATCCACGAGGCACAATCTCCTCGGAACCATAGTGAACTGAAGTCTTTTTCTTGGTATGGCACAGTACGTCTCCCCATTCATACCAGACTATGCCACAATCCGACCCCTTTGCGCCTGCTGACCCGACAGGACACCCCTTGGAAATGGGAGCAAGAAGAACAAAAGGCATTGGACAAGCTGAAAGAAGCCCTCGCTGGGGATCAAGTTATGTCCTATTTTGATCCAAGAAAGAAGACCGAAATCATTGTCGATGCGAGTCCAACTGGTCTTGGTGGACTGTTAATACAAGAAGGCAAAATTCTTAGTTATGCAAGCCGTGCTTTGAGTGATGTGGAAAGTCGCTACTCCAAAAAGAGAGAGAGATGCTTGCCATAGTATGGGGAGTGGAACATTTTCATCTGTATGTTTATGGTGCCCAGTTTTCTGTTATTACTGATCATAAACCTCTCATAGGCATCTTTAAGAACCACAAGCAAACTTCCCCAAGAATGGACAGGTGGAAACTTCGACTCATGCCCTACGACTGTCAGCTGATCTATCGGCCTGGAAGAGATGCGAAAACCCTGCTGATTACATGAGCCGACATCCGTGTCCCACAGCACCAGAAGAACAAAATTTGGCTGAAGATTATGCCAACTATGTATGCTCTAATGCTGTACCAAGAGCAATGATGCTCGAAGAAATAAAACACGAAACCAGAAATGATGCAGAAATGCAAGCTGTCGTCAAGGCTGTGGAAACTGGCCAATGGAATGTCCCAGACGTACAGAAATACAAGAAGCTCAAGGAAGAATTATCAGTGTTCAATGGACTAGTATTGAGAAGAAACAGAATTGTGATACCATTTACTCTCAGAAGTAAAGCAGTAGACCTGGCACATGGTGGTCACCAGGGGATTGTCAAAACAAAGCAACTCATCCGAGACAAAGTGTGGTTCTCCGGAATCGACAACCTAACAGAAGAGAAGGTCAAAAGCTGTCTTTCATGTCAAGCTGCATCGACCAAGTCACCACCGATTGAACCCCTTCGAATGACGCCACTCCCTAGCGGACCTTGGAGAGAAGTCGCAGTGGATTTTGCTGGACCGTTCCCCTCTGGTGATTACATCATGGTTGTAACAGATGAATTCAGCCGTTTTCCGGAAGTAGAAATACTTACCTCAACATCAGCAAGAGTTGTGATACATTATTGATGGATAACAAACTTGATGCATGTTCCATTCTATCAAGACAATCTGGTAAGAACTTGATGCCTGATGTCCTGATGAAAAGTGACAATGGTCCACCGTTTAATGGTCATGAATTTAAGAACTTTTCTGACTACTTAGGATTCAAGCATAGAAGGATAACCCCGTATTGGCCAAGAGCAAATGGAGAAGCGGAACGACTGGTTCAGACCCTCCAAAAGTCTATCAGAATTGCTCACCTAGAAGGCAAAAATTGGAAGCAAGAGTTGTACAAGTTCTTACGGCAATATCACAAATCAAATGTGAAGCACTTGGATG